ATGACTGTGTGTGCATGAGTATACTGTACACACATCTGTGTACTTACTGTGCCTCTGTGTAATATGCACACACCTGTGTGCTCTGCTATCTATCTATCTATCTATATATATATACACACACACATATACATGTGTGTATATATGTATGTGTCCTGGTACACTATGTGCAATGTATATGTGTGTGCTCTCATTTGCACATGTGTGTAAGTGGATCCTGCATCTGTGTAGTGTGAACACATCTGTATGTGTGCTCTGGTGTGCATGAGTGCACACATTCTGGTTGTGCATGTGTGTGGTGTGCATGTATATGCTTGAGTACACACATTCAGGTGCATATGTGTACAAGAGTGCACACATGTGTGTACTTCTGTTCAAGGGTTCCTCCTACACTGCATCAGGAAACCCAACAGGAGTAAAAATTTCAGTCACTAGCACTTTGAAATTCACAACTAATCATCTGATTTTTAAAGATAAGTGATGGTTTAATTGAATTTTCCACCAAAAGTTCAGTTGTGTGGTTCGGGTCCATGTCACCAGGACAGCACCCTGACTCCAGAAAGGTAATGAGGACCCACATAGTGGAGGCCTGTTGATCCTAAGAAAGCATGGTTTGTTTGACAACTTCACTGCCCAAGTCTGTACACAGGATCCTGTGTCCTCTATGAAATTATTCTCTTAAAACTAAATCCCTAGCCACATGAGCAGTGGACTCCTCCTGCTTAACTAGATCACACCTTTATGTTAAAATAACTTATAAAATCAGCATTTAACCACATAAAAATGCTAGCATGTTTAATTTTGTCTTATAATCATCATCATCATCAACTCCTGACAGGAAGCAGAATAAGACCCACTGGGAAAAAGGTTGGAGCTGGCCTCATGTCCAGGTAGCACACAGAATCAGCTCTGAACCGCTATGTAAAGCGTCAGAGAGAAGGAACATAAATAAAACCTGCTACCATGCATTGCTCTGTGAGCAGAGTGGAGACAGGGAGTGAGTCTGATTTGGAGGAAGGTCGATGGCCTCGTGAACCTGGACTCAATGCCCTGAGAGCTGATCTTTGTAACAGTCTGAGTTTGGGTAAGGAGAGATTGTTTTCTCTAGTTAGCTTCAAAAGTAAAAGTGGCATCCACATCTCAGAGCCGCCCCTGTAAACGTGGAGCTGACAGTGCATGGGGTTAGGAATGCTCAGTCTTGAAACAACCCAACTTGTTTGCTGGTCATGGGAAGAGGCAGGTTTATCCTGGGCTGGGCTTGACCCCTCTGCTGTCCTGGGTGGCCGATGTGCTGGGATCTGCCCACCCGCCCTGCTCTGCCTTCTGTCCTATCCCAAGAAACACCTGAATCTTCAGAGAGGCCAGACTTCGATGGCTAGTTTGAAAGACGCCCACAGCACCCCACATGTTGAGCTGTATAAAGCGTGCGAGGCTGAACACCTCGGGAAATGAGATGATCAGGGAGGGCTGCCTGGGAGTCTGTGCTGTCTGCAAGTCCTCTCTGCCCCGGGTGGCTGCAAGGAGCCACTACATGCCCACCGCAGGGCAGAAAGCCTGGCAGCTGCCCAAGAAGCCGCTGGTCCTGGTGGGGAAACCTGGCAGCTCACATTAGATTCAGTTCACGGAGGGGACATTTGGAGTCACTTTATGCTGCCACGTGTAGCATTTCCGCTGTGGCTCATGGCTAGCTGCTGGTCCTGGGGCAGGCAGCTTGGGCTGACAGACTCCAGTGGAACCAGGGAGCCAGGCTGAGCCCCCTTTCTTGCTTGCCCCCAGCACAGCAAAGGCCTGGTCTGAGCAGTGCCCCATGGCCGTAAGGGAATCCTCTCCCTAGGCAGCTTCCTTCCAACGGGGGCTTGGGCTTGTTGCCTCTGATCAGACCCCCACACTTTACATTCATGGCCCTAGCTCAGCAGGACGGGTTTGCATGCTGTCTACCAGCCTACCCAATGGTGGCACTTCTCTTCCTGGATATGGGGCCGCCTCCTCCAGGGGCCTGTAGCAGGGCATCCCAGCCAGATCCTAGCTGCGATAGGGTCCTTGGTCAGCAGCAGTGCAGGGGACTCTGGGCAAGGCACTGGGCTAGAAGAGGTCCCACCTCAGAGCCTGCACCTGTCAACTACACCCATCCTTAAATTTGGCTCCTGTTACCAGTTAGAAGGGACTCCTGCCACCCGGAAGACACCACACAGCTTCCCTAGCTTCCCCCACCTGCAGTACCCTGTGCTGGTGCTTAGCTCAGTCCTCCATCTGCCAGAGGCACATGCTTTCAGGCCAGGGTGGGACTCTGATCCCAGCCGGTCATGCAGCAGCACAATTGATGCCAGGAACAAGGCATCACCCTTTTCCAAGACTCTGAGCCTGGCTGGGCCCCATCAGCCCACCAGAAGGACAGAAACACACTTCATTGTCATATGCAACTCTTCACATTGTGAGTAAATATGCACATGCACACACATGCACACACACACATACACATCCTCCTCGTTTAAAAGTATGACCTTCACATTCATTAAGGCTATTTAAGGGGTGTATTTTAAATGAAATGCTATATAATATTCAAAATTACCAGAGTAATGAGTTAACAGGAAAACTGTCTTTGCAGAAAAACTATGACTGTGATTTTCCAAAATAGGATTCGATTGTTCATATGTATTAACCAAAAATAAATTCTACTGCTTTGCAGTAGAAACTGCACAGCCAGTTTCCAAAAACAGAAATGCAGGAGCCTGGCATCCTGTCTGCACACACAGCAAGTTAGCTCAGAGACAGGCTGGACCCGCGCTTGGCTAACAGCACAACTGTTCACACTCAACACTGCAGGCCCCGTCCAGCCAACCCCACGCTGATTTGCCTGTAGACATCCTCTTGCTCGAAGCTGGTGGACATTCTCCGGTAACACAGCACTTAATTTAATAAAGGAACTCACCAACTTCAAATTGCAATGAATTTACCAAACATGTTCACTGTTTATGGAGAGGTTTACAGTAAGAAAGGGTCGACAGAAGCAGGCACATCCGTGTACAGAATGTTCTGTTGGGTGGATTTTCACTTCTTCCAGCCCCACATACCGGTTGCTCTCGTCCCTGTCCTCCCAGCTGAGGTCCTCTTGGGAAGTCAACCTTGCTGGCCGCTCTGTTCTTGCCCCCTCGACCAGGGACCTCCGAATGCAGCCCCAGGGAACCAACAGACTCGCCAAGGTGAAGCGTGGTCGGAGCCCCGACCCAAAACATGGGTTGTAAACTTTGAATGGAATCCGGACACCAACGACACAGAGGAGGAACGGCAGCGAGGGCGGCCTGGCGGCGCGCAACGCTTAGCAGGCCCGGCCCGACTCCCAGGGGCGCGCGGCCTCGCAGGGCGGCCGGCAGCAGTACGGGTAAGAGGCGTTGAGGTCGGGGTCCGAGGGCGCATAGCCCGGCAGCTCCACCGACGGGTGCCCGCCGCAGCACACCTCCACGCCCGCCTCGTCGCGCGCGTGGAAGACGCCCACGTTGATGAAGGACACCGCGTGGTGCGCCGCAAAGGCCGCGCAGTCCGCGGGGCCGGCGAGGTCCGACTCCTCGGCGGACAGGATGGAGGCCTCGCTGGGCCGCGGCTGCAGCCTCCGCGCCCGCTTCCCTCGCCGGCCGCGCCGCGCCCGGGAGCCCGGGGTCTGCGCGCGGAGCCCGGGGCCACTGCGGGGCCGCGCTGGCGTCCGGTTCCCCCTCCGCCGGGCACGCCGGCCGCGCCGGGCCTGCGAGGACTTGTAGTTCTTGACGAGCAGGAGGCTGAGCAGGCCCAGCAGGCACTCGAGCGAGTTGAAGACGGTGGACAGCACCAGGCCGCGCTGGTAGTCCTTGAGCTGGCGGCACTTGGCAGACGTGGCGCTGTCCAGCGGGCTGCGAGCGCGCGGCGCGGGGCCGGGGGCCGGGGGCACGGGGCCGGGGGCCGCGGCCGGCGCGCGCGCAGGCAGGCAGTAGTGCGAGTACTTGCGCTCCACCAGGGCCACCGTGTCGCCGTCGATCACGGCGCCCGCGAAGGCGCTAAGGACGCCAAGCATGAACACCAGGACGCCCAGCAGCAGCAGATTCTGGCCGCCCGCCGGCCCCAGGACCCCAGCCACCGCCCCCGCCTCGCCCGGCACCGCCTCGGGGGGTGCGGGGGCCGCGGGGCCGCCGAGCCCTGCGCCCGGGGCCCGGCGAGGGCCCGGCCCCGACCCTGAACCCGGCCCAGCAAGCGGCGCGCCCCGGGGTCCGCAGCACAGCAGCGCCGCGCCCAGCAGGGAGAGGCCGGCGGCCAGCAGCAGCCCCGAGTAGAAGGCGCCAGCGGCCGCGCCCAGGCGGAACGGCTCCCCGCGCAGCTCCGAGCCCAGCGCGAAGCACTTGAGGCCGACGGCGGCGGCGCTGAGCGCGCAGGCGAGCAGCAGGCAGGAGGAGAGCGCGGCGCAGGCCC